TCCTGCTCTGCTCTGATTGGATAAAGCTGTGGGGTTCGTTTGTTTTGTTGAAAGCAGCGTCTGTTTAAACCCGTAAAACACTGGGCGGCTTTAACGAGACAACAGAAAACAAGCAGGTTTCTCTTTTCCTCATTTACCGAAAATACCGACATGGGCAAAATGACATTGGCCATTGTCATAAATGTTGATATCGGTTAATTTTCGGTTTATTGCCCAGGCCTAGAGCAGAGGTCGTTATATACCTCACATACCTCACATAAATTATTTAAGAACAAAAATAGCTAAATCTATTGGAATACTGTATAAAGTAAAGTAGTTATTCAATATTAAAGCACTACTTAGGTTGTATAATGCAATAATTGTTCCACATTTAATTTATTGTATTGAAGTCTGGGGTAAAGCTTGCAAAACTATCACAAATCCTATTTTTATTTTACGGAAAAGAGCCGTAAGAATCATTACTAGAAAAGATTACAGCCACCCATCAAATACATTATTTTGCCAACAGAAATTTTTGAAATTCTATGATTTGGTTGATTATAATATTTTACTGTTTGTGTATAAAGCTCACAAAAACGTATTACCTTCCAACATTCAAGCAAATTTTGTTAACTGAGAGAGTTATTATTATCTTAATGTGATAGAAATGTTTGTGAAGCCTTGGATTCGTACTAGTTTGAAAGAAAGATGTACTATAATCCAGGGAATAGGATTGTGGAATGGTCTGAAGGATGATGTTAAAAGTGCCAGATCTATGTATATATTTAAGACAAAAGCTTGTTTTTTGAAGGTATATGGAAAAGTATAATGTGAATCTATTTGAATAGTTGTTTGAGTTGATGTTTTTATTTAGTATTATTTTGAAATTATTTTTTGCTTGAGTATATTCTGGGGATAAAAGGGGCAGACATTAGATTTCATCTTCTGCTACCTTTCATTTTATTTTGATTTGTGTTATGTATTTTCTTTGTTTTCTATTGTAAATAGTTATTTTTTAAATGAAATTAATTAAAAAAGAGGTCAGAAAGTTTTACAAGAGGCTCAATGAGACCAGCCACGTTTTCTGGTTTGGAGACAAAGACATGGACAAAAAGACAGAAGACAGCTGCAAGTGTCAGAGAAGATGTGAAGAGGCTGAGGTTTTCCTTGGGAGTGAGAAGGATGGAGAAGATGAGGAGTGAGATCATCAGAGGTACAGCACAGATGGAAGGACTGGAAGATAAAGTTAGAGAGACCAGACTGAGATGTTTTGGACATGTCCAAAGGGTGGACATTGAGTATATTGGACAGAGGACAGAGTTAGGACAGAAGACTTGAGAGAGCGTAAGGGCACAGAATACAGAGGATTTGGGACAGAGTGAGGACRGGRSACASATAACAGAGAGAGGACAGCTAAAGGGCAAACAACCCAAAGAAATAGTAGTTTGTAGTTTTGATCTTCTACAGAGGATAAAGTCATTAAACAAGAACAAGAAGTTGTTGATTTACTGCTCTTCTTTATTACTTTAGGATCTCCTGTCATGTGCCAGAGTAATCTCAAATCCAAGATGAAAACCAAGTTCGAGTGTATGTTTGAGGGGGTCACCAAAGCGGGAAACCCAACCCTCCTGAACCAGATCTACACGGAGCTGTACATCACAGAGGGAGGGACCGGAGAGCTCACTGATGAACATGAGGTCAGACATGTGGAAACTGCTTCCAAGAAACCATACTGTCCAGGAACCACAATCAAACAAGAAGACATCTTTAAATCCCTCCACCCTGGAAGAGATCAGCTAGTCAGAACAGTTTTGACTCTGGGGGTGGCTGGAATCGGGAAAACTGTCTTAACGCGGAAGTTTACTTTGGACTGGGCTGAAGACAAAGCCAACAAGGACATCCACTTCACGTTCCTGTTCCCTTTCAGAGAGCTGAATTTGGTGAAGGATGAAAAATTCAGTTTGGTGGAACTTGTTCATCACTTCTTCACTGAAACCAAAAAAGCAGGAATTTGCACATTTGAAGACTTCCAGGTTGTGTTTATCTTTGACGGTCTGGATGAGTGCAGAATTCCTTTGGACTTCCACAAAACCACAATTCTTACTGACCCAAGAAAGTCCACCTCAGTGGACGTTCTGCTGACGAACCTGATCAGAAGGAACCTGCTTCCCTCTGCCCGTCTCTGGATAACAACACGACCCGCAGCTGCCAGTCAGATCCCTCCTGACTGTGTTGACATGATGACGGAGATCAGAGGGTTCACCGACACACAGAAGACAGACTACTTTAAAAAAAAGTTTGAAGACTGTGATCAGGCTGACCAGGTCATCTCTCACGTGAAGGAATCCCGAAGCCTTCACATCATGTGCCAAATCCCAGTCTTCTGCTGGATCACCGCTACCGTTTTGGGAGATGAGCTGAAGTTCAAAAAGAAGGAGGAGCTTCCCAACACTTTGACCCAGATGTATATTCACTTCCTTGTGGTTCAAACCAAAACAAAGATGGTCAAGTATGATGAAAGAGCTGAGACGGATCCACACTGGAGTCCAGAGAACAAGACGATGATTGAGTCTCTGGGGAAACTGGCGTTTGAGCAGCTGCAGAAAAGAAACCTGATCTTCTATGAGTCGGACCTGACAGAGTGTGGCATCGATATCAGAGCAGCCTCAGTGTACTCAGGAGTCTTCACTCAGATCTTTAAAGAGGAGCAAGGACTGTACCAGAACAAAGTGTTCTTCTTTGTCCATCTAAGTGTTCAGGAGTTTCTGGCTGCTCTTTATGTCCATCTGACATTCATCAACTCTGGAGTCAATTTGCTCAAAGATCAAACAACTTTCCAGAAGGCCAAACTAAAAGACRAAGCTGCAGAGAAGAACTTTTACCAAAGTGCCGTAGACGAGGCCTTACGGAGTCCATCTGGACACCTGGACTTGTTCCTTCGCTTCCTCCTGGGTCTTTCATTGGAAGATAATCAGTCCCTCCTTCAAGGGCTGCTGAAACAGACGGGTAGCTCGCAGACCAATCAGGAAATAGTCCATTACATCAAGGAGAAGTTAGGAGGTGACTTGTCTGCTGACAAAATCATCAATCTGTTCCACTGTCTGAATGAGCTGAAGGAGTGTTCTTTAGTGAAGGAGAGCCAAATGTTCCACAGCTCAGGACGTCTCACCACAGATCAACTGTCTCCTGCTCAGTGGTCTGCTCTGGTCTTCTTCTTACTGTCCTCAGAAAAAGACCTGGATGTCCTTGACTTGAAGAAATACTTTAACTCTGAGGAGGCTCTTTTAAGATTGATTCTAGTTGTTCCTGCGTCCAACAAAACCCTGTAAGTACACAGGTAGATTTGCATTGTGAAGTTCCAGCTGGTAAAGAAAAAGACAAATTCTAACTTCTGTTTTGTTTCGTCTCCACAGATTAAGTGTCTGCAATCTTTCAGAGAAAAGCTGTGAAGTCCTGTCCTCAGTTCTGAGCTCCCAGTCTTCTTGTCTCAGAGAGTTGGACCTTAGTAACAACGACCTTAAAGACTCAGGAGTCAAGCTTCTGTCTGAAGGACTGAAGGACAAGAACTGTGTGCTGAAAACTCTGAGGTGAGATGTCAAAAACTGGTCCGTATACTTTTGATAAACACTCTGCAACATTTAAACTCTGCCACCTTCATGGATCAACACCTTGTATGAGCAGTTGTTGGTAGTTTTCCTCTTTTAACGGCAAACTGGTTCTCGGCAAAGAGATGGACAAACCGTGATTTATCAACTCCAGGGGTTCAGAGGTTTCTTGAGTAGGAGGTTATTTAGAAAAAGTAGGATGCTGAGCATCTATAGAGCAAAGCCCAGTGCTGAGTGCCAAAGAGGTGAGGTTATTGATCAAGRGGGGTCTGGGGGCCCAACTAAAGGTCAATGCAGAGCACCAAAAATGGGGTTTCTGTGTAGTCCCAAAACAATTAATATAAGAGTTTGGTTCACATGCCAGTAATAAATGATAACCAGGTAAACAATGACAAACAATCCAGACCCCATTACATACCAAAGGACTGAAAAGATCTTTGCAAAAAGGACGGGTAAGGTGTTGTCTGTAATTTTGGCATTGACAGGTTTGGGGTTCAGTCGGAAACATAAAGGTCCAGCAACCAAAAGCAGCAAGAAACTGTGTGTTTTATGTGTCTGCAGCCTGTCAGGGTGTCTGATCACTGAGAAAGGCTGTGCTTCTTTGGAGTCAGCTCTGAGGTCCAACCCCACTCATCTAAAAGAGTTGGACCTGAGTTACAATCATCCGGGAGAGGAAGGGATGAAGCTGCTGTCGGCACAGGATGCACCCTGGAAACTAGACTCACTCAGGTATCAAACTTCACACATGATCTGATGGAGGAGAGAAAGTTGTTTTTTTATTGTAGGTTCAAAGGAACTGCCTGCAGAGCTCAGAGACAGGTTTGTTTAGAGTAGAAGATCTGAGAAAGGCTCCAACATGTTTCTGCTGCACTGACGGCCACCAAGAGAACGACAGACTCCAAAATTCAAGTTTAGAACAAGCAGAACAGATTTTGAACTACATGTATCTTTGCAATACTGTATATCATTGGTCTGTGTTAGAAAAAAAAACATTTATGAAACTCGTGTACATTTTTTACGATGAAAGATGGTTTAACCCGAACCCTCCTCCTTTCAGGGTSGAGCCTGCTGGAGAGCGGTGGTTGACTCCAGGTCTGAGGAAGTGTAAGTGTGATTCATGACAGCGAAGCAGCAACATTAAAACATCATCAAAGTTTCAGATGATCAGATGACAGGTTGTTTCTTCTCTTATCAGATTGCTGCAGGCTCACCATCGACAGGAACACTGTGAACAGAAAACTCCAACTGTCTGACCATGACAGGAAGGTGTCGTGTGTGGAGGAGGACCAGTTGTACCCAGATCATCCAGACAGATTCGACTTCTGGCCTGAGGTGATGTGTGAAGAGAGTCTGCCTGATCGCTGTTTCTGGGAGGTTCAGTGGAACGGGAAGGTGGAGATATCAGTGACCTACAAAGATATCAAACGTAAAGGGAACAGCAACGACTGCGAGTTCGGCTTTAATGACATTTCCTGGAGTCTGAGCTGTTCTGACGACGGTCGATACTCCGTCTGCCACAACAACGTCCGAGAGTTCACCTCCTCCTCCTCTTCCTCTGCGTCCTGCCACAAACTGGGTGTGTACGTGGACTGTTCCTCTGGAACTCTGTCCTTCTACAGAACCTCCTCTGCAACACCAGTCCACCTCCACACACTGATGACCACTTTTACTGAGCCTCTTTACCCCGGGTTTGGGTTCTGGGCTGGTTCCTCTGTCACCTTGTGCTCAGACGAGTCTCCTCCCATCTGAGACACAAACCAAACATTACCACAGCTTTTAGGTTTAAAGTAAAAGTTTTTACCGTTATTATTAACTGTTAAATTGCTAAAACTACAGCACAAAACATCCGATTGAGACAAGATATTCATAACATTCACTGAGACTGAGCTTCACTCTGGCCTTTTCAGTTCTGTTATACTCTTTTTTATTATTTATTTTATTTTACTTGTTTCGAATATCCGTTTTTAAGATGCCAAATTCAAGATGTCTTAATATAATTGATATCATTCAGTTTAAAAGTCCAAATGCACTTTATTTGCAATTAAGTTATTTAGCCTTTAGTGGTTCTTAACCTTTTTTGAGATACTGAACCTACCAGTTTCGTATGCACATTCACTGAACACTTTTTAGTGATAAATAAAATGTGATTTTTTTTTTCCAAATTCAAGATGGTTTTTTTTGCTGGTGTATAAAATGAGCCGTGCATGAGCCTTGCTCAAAGAACAAAACCAACACAGTGCATGAACTCACAACAAATTACAGTATGACTTTATTCTGGCCCCATAAAAAATTTCAGCTAGGGCTGCAACAACGAATCGATAAAATCGATAAAAATCGATTATTAAAAGCGTTGGCTACGAATTTCATTATCAATTCGTTGTGTCACGGGATTTATGCGTCCCTCGCCGTGTCGCAGAGCTGATTACGTCACCCGCAGAGGGTTGTCACTGACCGCAGTTGGTTACCAAGAAAGAAAAAACTCCACCTGTAAAGAGCCGCCCCTCTCTGACTCTCGAGTGAAAAGCAGAGACTTCGAACTTTAAACCAGTTTTTAAATCGTGTTGTTAGGCCAAGTAGATCTGAAGATATAAAAAGTATCTGCTACATTTATTCTTTTTAAAAGACGTCTGATTTGATGCGCGCCGCGTCGCGAGGAGGAAGTGTGTGCGGGGGAGGCGGGAGACCTTAAATCCACCGTTTCCTTCTCCTCTGGGGCCAAAAGTATAAACTCTCCAGTTGTTTCTGACTGAGGCCCAAAGTTATTTGTTGAGCAGCAAAAAGTTTCAGGACTAAGGAAAAAAAAGACGCAATCGAGCAGCAGGTCTGCAGGGGGAGGGGAGGGGGGGGGCTGCTTCAGAACCGGTTACTGGGTCAGAACAATGTTTCAGTCAAAC